TGTGACCCGTCTCTCAATTTCCCCTGCCACACCTATTCCCCTAGAGCCTTTAACATCCGGTCAAGAGTCAAATGAAAACCCTTGGCGCTCATCTCGGCCGTCCATTCTTCTTACCTCTTCCTCTGTGGCCCGTCGGATCTGCTCCTGCCTCACGCTCGACTCCTCCTGCATCTTCACCAGCTCTGCGTTCCTCGCCCTCTGTGCCTCGTGCTCCGCCTGTCAAAGGTAAGAAACAACAGACAGGTGTGTTGAATATAACACCATGTTACACCGCACTCAACTGCACTGCATTGAGTCTCCTGCCTCACACTCGACTCCTCCTGCATCTTCACCAGTTCAGCGTTCCTCGCCCTCTGTGCCTCGTGCTCCGCCTGTCAAGCAATCATTGGGTGAAAGGGAAGACAGGCAGACAGGGGAAACAGACAGGTGGAGCGATGAGTAGAGCAGGAGAAGGGGGAACGGGAGCTTCACTCCTGCATCTTCACCAGCTCTGCATTCCTTGCCCTCTGTGCCTCGTGCTCCGCCTGTCAGGGTTGAGCAGCAACGAGCAGGGGGAACATAGAGGAGTATTTTGGATTAAGGGAAAACACCCTCCTCCTGCATCTTCACCTGCTCTGCGTTCCTCACTCTCTGCGCCTCGTGCTCCGCCTGTCAGAAGCAGACACATAGGGAAGCAGTCGGGCAGACAGGGAAACGGGCAGGGGGGAAGATGAGCATAGCAGAGCAGGAAGGATGGAGGCGTGGGAGCATCACTCCTGCATCTTCACAAGCATCACCCTCGTACCTGCCACCCTAGTACCCTAAACCCTAAACCCTCCCTGGGGTCTCTCCCTCACCTGCATCCTCTTGCGCGCGAGCTCGTCTTCGTACCGCGCGAGCTGCGCCTTGGTCTGCGCCTGCTGCTGCTGCCATTGCGCTACCCACCCCATTGGCCTCTTCCTATCCTCCCCCACCCCTCCCTCGTCCCTCCCATCCCCCCTCCCCTCGCCTGCCTCCTCACCTGCATCCTCTTGCGCGCGAGCTCGTCTTCGTACCGTGCGAGCTGCGCCTTGGTCTGCGCCTGCTGCGCCACCAGCTTCTGCTGCTCCTCATACATCAGCTTCTGCCGCGCCGTCTCCTGCTGCTGCCCCCCTCCCCATTCCCCCCCCCTCCCCCCATTCCCCCTCCTCTTCCCCCCTCTGTTATCACCCTGCCACCCATGCACCACGCTCCATCCCTCTCCTTCTCTCTACGCCCACCCCTTCAGGTCCGCTCTAAAACCCGGAGCCCTACACCCTCACCCAGGTTTTCCTCCTCACCTGCATGCGCTTCCGCGCGAGCTCGTCTTCGTACCGCGCGAGCTGCGCCTTGGTCTGCGCCTGCTGCGCCACCAGCTTCTGCTGCTCCTCGTACATCAGCTTCTGCCGCGCCGTCTCCTGCTGCTGCCGGTGCACCTCCAGCTCCGCGATCCGCGCCTTCTCTTCCGCTAGACGCACGTCCTCCTGCTTGCGCATCAGCTCGAACACCTGGGTGGAGTGAAGGGGGTAGGTGGGAGGGGGGGGGAGTTGGGTGGAGCATGAGGAGGGGATATGATTGGGAGCAGAGATCAGCGCCCCTGCTGCTGCCGGTGCACCTCCAGCTCCGCGATCCGCGCCTTCTCTTCCGCTAGACGCACATCCTCCTGCTTGCGCATCAGTTCAAACACCTGGGGGGGGCCCAGGAAATGGAGGGCGAGGATGGGATATAAGTGCGAGCAGAGAGCAGCGCCCCTGCTGCTGCCGATGCACCTCCAGCTCCGCGATCCGCGCCTTCTCTTCCGCCAGCCGCACCTGGGGGGGGGAAGTGTTGGGAGGGAGAAAGTGGGTGGGGCGGAATCGGGGAAGGACGAGGAAAGTAGGGGGCGAAAAAGGGAGAAGAGGCGGCGTTATAGACGACTCGTTAATCTCATGAGCCGTTCGCCATCATACCTGCTTTGCACTAGAGGACTTGTTGATCTCCCTCAGAGCCTTCGCCCCGCGTTCCAAAGCCTCGGGATCGAATCCCGCCGCCGTCGTCCTTGGGTTGGGGTTGTCATTCCTCTGCCGCTGCGTTCCCTCCCCCGCGGCCGTGCTTCCGGCCCCCGCACTTGCGCCAGATCCGCCCGGCGGAAGGCCCCCGGGCGAAGGCCCCGGCGCGGGGGGATGATCCGCGGAGGGCTCTCCGCCGCCTCCGCCAGCTCCGCCAGCGCCTCCGCGGATGCCCAGCATGTTCCCCCAGAACGATCCGGCGGAAGCAACTGAGGCCAAGTTCTGCCGATCCGCGGGATCCGCGGAGTCGTCGGATCTTGCGACTCGTGAATCTACGGCTGCGATCGCGGCAACGGAGGCGGCGGATGCGGCGAGCACGGTCGCTGCTCCAGATCGACCGGAGTTCGCGGCTGATGCGGCAGCCGCTGATTGGGCTAGCCGGCGAATGGAACTTCTGATCGCCATGGCTGGCAGATCAGATCCAAACAGATTCGATCAGATTGGATCGGATCGAACGTACAGGAACTTGCTGAATGTCTAGAGGAAGCATGCAATGAGTAAGCGCCCCAGTTACGCTCTCGCTCTGGTCGCACGTGCGAACGGAGGCGCGACTGTCACGCAAGCCGCAATTTCCGCGATCCGGCAGCAAATAACCCGAGATCTGGTATGCAGAACAGTTCTCGAAGTAAGTGTCCGTGCGATCCGGTGCAAGTAACGAAACTAGGACAACCGTAATGCTGACCAGATAGTCGAGCTGGTTCGTCCTGCCTAGACCACAAGCAGAAGGAAGCTCTCGCAAATGGGAAATGGGCGAAAGCAGATAAGAAGGCAGTTCAGACGAATTGCCGCCAACCAAATGGGCCCAGCCAAAGAACGAGCTCGTCGGGATTTGCTAGTGGAAGCACGGATTTGCTTCTCAGAATTTGCTAGAAAAGAGCAACGGGACGGCGAGTGAACACTGGGAAAGAATCTACCCAAATATATCAGTCAGTGCTGATACCGGATTGTTCACTAACGAGAACAGGAGAATGCTGGTTCGGGAATTGGGGCAGGGCCACAGGATGCCAAGCGAAATCGATCGCGGCCAGTCAGAGACGACTAGATTTCACACATTTCATGAAAACGGTCAATGAATGCGTGTTTTCAAATGTCTCATAAGCAAAGCATTGAGCGAAATTGTGTGGACCGGGTGTGATATGCGTTTTTCACACCTGAATCTACTCGGGAGAGAAGTCGGGTCACTACTGAAGAATACGGCCTAGCCTTATGTCGTGTGTCACAAGCAAGGTGTTTGAGACGCCACGCGTTTGGAGCGATTCCAGCAGGGCTGGAAAGACGGAAAATATCGGCGCGGCGTCAGATGCGTGCGCAGCAATAGCAGCTTTGGTATTCGATTACAGCTCAGTATCTACATTGAATCTACCTGTATGAGTTACAATAGCCTCCCAATATTGGGTACGATGGCCCTGGTATTGTGTAGTCGTGATTCCAATTGCTCACTCGTGCCTACTGGTAATGAAGTGTATATAAACCGAGTGTTCGCGGTTCACTAGTCAAAGCAACTGACAACAGGCCAACACCGTGACTCTTCGTGCGCCCCCGTCTGACACACATTTTCAATGTGAACTCATCTCAGCCGTCAAATTTTCACGTCCAACAATCCGTGCCCTGACTCTGCTCCTCCGACGACTCTCACTACGCGCGACTCGTTCGCGTGCCGCCTAAACTCAGCACCAAAAATATCGCGGCGCGGCAGCGGCAACCAGCCAACACACAAAAGCACTTCAGCATTCGCTCCGCACGGAATTCCCAGGGGCAGGCAAGGGGGCATGGTGATCTCTGGAATAGGGATGCTTGAAACAGGAAAATTCGTATGTGCTCTTCCTTGTCCCTCCCTCCCACGAGCAAAACCCAAGGTCAGCTGGCTTCCTTGACAGCCGTTAGATCATCCGCAAAACTTCTTTTCAGGGCCCATATCATCGGTTCGACGGCTACGATTTTCCGATTACAGGGAGGTGCCACTACCAAGCAGAACCAGCGGATTGAGCTGCAGGAGAAAATCGTAGTAATCTCCATGATAGCACGTCTCAGCTTGTAGGCCCACTTCCTCTTCCATACCCATACACCACAGCACGCTTCTTGGCACGTAGTGGACTAGTGCTCAGAGACTAGCGATCCTTAGGCCGTACGAGTAATGCGCGTAGCTTTGTAGCGTGCAGTCACGTAGGGGTCAGCGACAATCGTCCCTCGTGTTTTAGTCTTCCTCGCCACGCCCCTTCGTGATCTAGCCAAACCTCAGCACGACATGACCTAAACCCACCGCCAGTCGTGAGCAGGTAAGTCCCGATTGGCGGTAGGTATCCTCTCGTTACTAGACGCGCTCAATGATTCGCGCCGTCCCGTAGCATAGCGCACGAACAGGCTGTCGTAAAGCAAGGCTTCAGCTCTCGGCACCCCTCACGATCCTCAGTAGTGAGTTCGCCATAATCCGTACCAGATCTAGTCAGTGCGTCGTCTTACAGGTCGACTTTTGAGTCAACTCAAAAGGTCTTAGACTTTTTGTGCTCTCGGATTTTAGCCTGAGCTTCCCTCGAGAGATCCTGAAATTGCTTTCGTATATTAGCTCGTTTCTGCAAGCCGGTGTGAAGGCGGCTATTAGGTTGTTTTCACCAGGAGATGCTGCGTTGAAGCTTTTAAGAGAACAATCTTAAAAGGAGATTTACCAAACCGCTTGCAGAAGTACAGGCTAGTAGGAGAGCTACAAGGACTTCGTGTGTGGTACGCAAGCTGATTGTTGTAAACGTATCAAGCCTAACAGACCGTCGAGCGCCTCGGGAAAGAGTGGTGGCGTGGGGAGCAGTACGGCAGTGAACAGTGAAAAACACTTCGCGGTAATTTTCGAGTCGTATCACACAAGTCGAATCACACAAGTCGCAGTGACTACTATCAGGAAGGGTGGAGGTGTTGCTGGGGAGGCTAACAGATAACCTCTCGACGGGGCAACGTAGGTGGGCGATGATGGGTGGGGGGCGAAGATCGCAGCTGATGTGGCTGCTGCTGTTGCTGGTCGCGGCGTCGCAATGGAGCTCAAGAGTTCACGCAAAGACCGTCATGGGAGATGGTAGGTTTCTCCTCCAATCGCGAAACTACCCTCATCTGAAGCATTCATTTCAGAAATTTCTGAATAAAATCTATCCCCAGGTCCCCCCACTCCCCCTCCCCCTTCCCCGTTCCCCACTTCTTCACCACCTTTTCTTTCCCCACATCCCCACATTGGTCGACCAGCGAACTTGTTGCAGCTATTCAAGCTATACGTGAACGACGCACCCGCTCTGACGGACGGGATGGGGACCTGCTAATAAGTTTCCTCCTCACCTCCCCCACACCTCGTGTTCCCCTTTTCCCCACTACCCTCCCCCTCACTTCTACCACCGCTGGCAACGCGTCGGCATGTAAGGCTTGTCCGAGCCACATTCTCAAACCCACCCTACATTTGTTCTATTTTGTTTATTTTATTAATTTCTATCCCTCCTACCCTACACCTCACTCCAGTTACCAATGTCCGCGCTGCAGGTGTTCAAGCTCTCTCCAGTTATCTCTGCAGGTGTGCGGGCCCATATCAAACTTGACTTTCACACCTACACTCCTTTCTTTTTCTGCTGTTGCGTTTTTCTTTCCCGCCTGCCTTGCTCCTCACTCCAATCGCCAATGACCAGTGTCAGCGCTACAAGTGTTCAAGCTCTCCGTGAGCAACGCAACGGCTCTGGCGGACTGGCAGGGATTCGAGCCGTGCAAGCAGGAGTGGTTCGGCGTGAATTGCGGGGAGTCGACGCGGTCGAAGCACCGATGGGCCATTGTCGCGATGTAAGCTTTGTGTACCAGAAATGCGCGTAGCAGGAATGCGTGTAGCAGGAAAACACCTACCTTGATACCCTTTTTGCCGCCAAACGATATGATTTCGAATCTGACCGTTTCCTGTTCTGTTTCCCTCCTCATTTTCCCCACCCTCTTTCCCCATCCCCTCGCTCACCCCACTCCCCTCCTCCTTCATGGATAATGACGCCGCTTCCCCCGCAGAGAGCTGCCGAACTGCGATCTGGGAGGGGAGATTCCCGAGGCCATCGGCGACCTGGTGGAGCTCACGAAACTGTAAGGATTAAAAGAGAGTACACCGCTTTGTTGCCGTTCATATGGTTGAGTTTGCAGGATTTTTTTGCAGTTCGTCGGTGTTGTAGGATAAGATGCCCCGTGTCGCTTCACGAAGGGTGGTCGTTCTCACAGAGCCTCCCGTTTCTATTTCTACGAGCCGACTTGAGCAAAAGTGATCAGGGATTAACCTCCTTCTGTTCCTGCTTCGCTCTTCCGATCATGACGATCACAATCCCTCGAATCCCGCAGCGATTTACGGAACAACAACTTCACGGGGCTGCTCCCCGTGTCGCTCAGCCGCCTTACCGCGTTAGAGTCACTCGACGTCTCGGGAAACTCGTTCGAGGTCGCACCTTCCACGAACCTTACCGCCGGCGCGCCTCCCCCGCTGACGTCAGACCCCATCTCTATTATACCGGAGCCAGACGCACCGGGCCCGGAAATCCCGGGGTTGGTTAAGAAAGGACGAAAGAAGGGCAGAGGAAAGAAGGGACGCGGGAAGAAGGGTCGAGGGGGGAAGATAGGAAAGGGGGGAAATTTTACTGCTGAGCCACCTGCGGCTGAGCCTCCAACGACAAAGCCTCTGCCGGCTGCCAAACAGCCTGCCGTCAAGCCGTTGCCGGCCGCCAAACCGCCAGCCGTCAAGCCATTGCCGGCCGCCAAACCGCCAACCGTCAAGCCGTTGCCGGCTGTCAAACCGCCTACCGTCAAGCCGCCAGCTGGAAAGATCCCGCCAAAGAGCATTCCCGATAAAGTGCGTCAACCCGCGGTTCCTGTAGACCCGCCTACTACAGACGAATCCCCCGGTAGTAGTAGCTCTGTCCCCGTTATAAGCGGCACCCCGTTGCCTCCCCCTAAATCCGTGTCCGCGCCTTCCGCCAACACCGCCTCTCCGCCGGCTTCAGCGGCCGTTGGAACAAAGGAGCCGGCTATAGAGATTCCGCCGGACAATGCGGGATACACGAGCGGCGATAGCAGTGACAGCAGCAGCAGCAGCAGCGGCAGCAGCAGCGGCAGCAGCAGCAGCAGCAGTGACAGCAGCCCAGCGTCGTTGGACGATTCCGCTCTCGCCTCCACCTCCTCCTCCTCCTCGTCCCCAGCCTCCTCCGCCTCTTCCGCTCCGCCTCCCCCTGCCGAATCTTCCTCCACCAATAGCGTCGCGCTGTACGTGGGCATAGCGGCCGGCGTGGTCGTCGCGATCCTGTTCGGCGTCGCGCTCGTGCTGCTCTACATCTACCTGCGCCGGCGCCGCGCGGAGGAGAATAAGGACTTCGCGCCGATTAAAGACGTCGCGACGGGCGCGGACGGACGGGACGGGGATTACGGGGCAGCCGGCGCGGCCGCCGCGGCGGGATATGCGGCGGGGAAGAAGGGAGGTGGTGGGAAGGGAGTGTTTGGAAGGATATGGAAAGGAACTGGGAAGGTGGCTGATCTTTGTAAGTACAGCAATTTCTTTTCTTGTTTTTTTCTCCATCTTTAATTGGGTCTATTCTGTATTTCTTGGCTGACTCATATGATTTTGTCTCTAACTTCTTCTGCAAATTGGCTCCTCCAGCTGGCGTTTTAAAATAGGCGGTAACCCTCCAGCCGCATCTCTCTTTCTCCCCTCATCCGTCCTCCCCTCCCCTCTTCCACCTGCGCTCTCTCCCCCTCACTCCCCAACCCCCCACCTCCCTCCCTCCCGTTTTTTCTCTCCCCACCCCCAACGTCACAGGCACAGCAACTGCTTATCAGCAACAAGCTAACGCCCCCGCCGCTCCGCCCGCCGCGTTTCCCGCTCACGGCCGTGCCGCGAATCTCCTTCCCCCTCCCTTCCTCCCCTCTTGTCTCCCCACCCCATCACTACAGGCACAGCAACTGCTTACAGCAACAAGCTAACGCCCCCGCCGCTCCGCCCGCCGCGTTTCCCGCTCATGACCGTGGCGCGAATCTCCTTCCCCCTCCCTTCCTCCCCTCTTGTCTCCCCACCCCATCACTACAGGCACAGCGACTGCTTTTCAGCAACAAGCTCACTCCCCCGCCGCTCCGCCCGCCGCGTTTCCAGCTCATGACCGTGGCGCGAATCTCCTTCCCCCTCCCTTCCTCCCCCCTTGTCTCCCCACCCCATCACTACAGGCACAGCGACTGCTTTTCAGCAACAAGCTCACTCCCCCGTCGCTCCGCCCGCCGCGTTTCCCGCTCACAACCGTGGCGCGAATCTCCTTCCCCCGCACGACCCCTCCGCGATGATTCCGCACAGCGGCGCGTCGAATCACAGCGGTTGGGGCGCCGCGATCAGCGCCGTGGGTAGCGGCGTGAACAGCGCCGCGCATAGCGCCGCGCATAGCGGCGTGCATGGCGTTAATGTGGAACATGTGGAGGGCGGCGGCGCGGTCTCCCCGTACGCGCCAGCCTCGGCGTACGCGTCGGCTGCCGAGCCTGGCAGCAACATGTCGAGCCAGTTCCCGAGCCGCACTCCGAGCCAGACGCCGAGCCAGCCGCCGAGCCACGTGGCAGGCCCGGGGCTAGCAGCGGCTATAGCCGCGGGAACAGGGATTGGCCTGGACGGGGGCGCAGGAGGCGCGGGCGGCGGAATCGGCGGAGCGGAAGGGGGAAGCGGGCGAGGGGGAGGGGGCGCGGCTCATAGTAGCAATAGTAGCGTGCAGACGCCTGGGGTTTCTGTGGGATCTCTTGAGTCGGGGCGCAATATGGGAGAGTATAGGATGATGCTGCCGGGTCGCAGCCTGAGCAACACGGTTATGGAGCTGACGTTTGAAGACGTGCTGGTGAGTTGTAGGATCGTGCACTGTAGTGTAACAGGACGGCTTATAATGAGTCACTCTGAGAGCAACACTGTTATGGAGCTGACGTATGAAGACGTGCTGGTAGGATCGTGCACTGTAGTGTAACAGGACGGTGCGGCTGGCTTAGTCTCCTTGCTACAGAAACGTCAATGAGAACGCTCCCTCCTTTATGGTGTGGCTGATGTACCGACTCCCTTTGCCCACTTCTCCTCCCTTCCCGTCCCCCACCCCCTCATGTGTCCACCTTCCTTCTCCTGCAGGGAGCGACAGACAACCTGGCAGAGGCGAACGTGATTGGGTCGGGCGGGTTTGGGCGCGTGTACTGCGGCAGGCTGGCGGGGGCAAGTGTTGCGGTGAAGGTGCTGGAAGCGGGGAGCAGTCAGGGCGACCGGGAATTCCAATCAGAGGTGAGACGATATATATACGGTTCAGGGTCGCTTTGGGGCTTTGGTTGAAGCACACAAGGTGGGTATAGGTGGACAGGACATGTGCAAAGGCTGGCGGGGACTAGTGTTGCTGTGAAGGTGCTGGAAGCGGGGAGCAGTAAGGGCGACTGGGAATTCCAATCAGAGGTGAGGGTTGACACTGCACCACACAGCTGGGGTATAGGAGGTGGCAGGTCAAAAGGGGGCCGGAAGTTGGAGTGGCGGCGAAGGTGCTGGAAGCGGGGAGCAGCCAGGGCGACAGGGAATTCAGGGTTCAGGGTTTGGGGTTTTAAAGTAGCATAGGTTGTGATGACACGTTGAAAGGCTGGCGGGGCTGGGGGCTGGCGTGGCGGTGAAGACAGAGGTGAAGGTCGTGGAAGCGGGGAGCAGTCAGGGCGACAGAGAGTTTCAGGTGGACACTGTAGCACACAAGGAGGGGGTATAGGAGCCTGGCTGGTCAAGAGGTGGCTTTTGAGAATTCTCTTTTGAGAATTTGAGAATCAGGCGGAGCTGCTGAGTCGACTCAGGTCGCCCCATCTGGTGCATCTGGTGGGGTACTGCATTGCCGGTGGTAACAGAGTATTGGAGTCTTACTCTTACGTTTCCCCCGTCTCCTCCTCCCCACTCCTTCCCTCCTTCCCGTCACCCCATCTCCCTTGCAGGTGGAGCTGCTGAGTCGACTCAGGTCGCCCCATCTGGTGCATCTGGTGGGGTACTGCATTGCCGGTGGTAACAGAGTGTTGGTGTATAACCTCATGGCGAATGGGAGTCTGAGCGACTTGCTGCATAATAACAGCAGCGATGGTGAGTGTAGAGGTGTTTTGGGTGTATATAATGTATTATACGCGTTATAGAGTGGTTTGGAGGGTAACCGGGTGTTGGTGTACAATCTTATGGCGAATGGAAGCCTGAGCGACCTGCTACATGATAACAGCAGTGATGGTGAGTGTAGAATCATAGGTACGCGATGTAGGGGTATCATACGCGTTATAGAGTGTAGAAGAAGTGTTGTAGAGTGATCCGGGGGCAACAGAGTGCTGGTGTATAACCTCATGGCGAATGGCAGCTTGAGTGACTTGCTGCACGATAACAGCAGCGACGGTGAGTGTAGAGGTGTTTTGGAGGTATAGGATGTATTGTACGCGTTATAGAGTCGTTTAGGGGGGCAACTGGGTTCTGGTGTATAACCTGATGGTGAATGGTAGTTTAAGTGACCTATGCATGATAACAGCAGCGATGGTGAGTGTTGTACGTGCATAGAATGTCTTGTACGTTGGCCGTTTAGACTGCAAGAAAAACAGCAGCGTTCCCCCCTTCCCTGCATTTTCCCCCTTCAACTCGTTGCCCCCTCCCACCCTCCCCCGTTTCCCCCTTTTCCCCGCCTTTTTTTGGCCGGGTTTTCTCTATTCCAGGATCCTTCCTGCAGCGGTTTGGCAGGGAGCGGCCACATGTGGAGTGGCAGCAGCGCATGCAGATTGCTCTGGGCGCTGCCAGGGGGCTCATGTTCCTGCACCACGCTGCTAACCCGGCTGTCATTCACCGCGACTTCAAAAGCAGCAACGTGCTGGTCGACCACGAGTGAGTGTGCTTCTTGTTTAAGCCAGGGGACTCATGTTCCTGCACCACGCTGCTAACCCGCCAGTGATTCACAGGGATTTCAAGAGCAGCAACGTGCTGGTCGACCATGAGTGAGTGCTGCTGCTCGTTAAAGCCTGGGTGGCTACTCCCCTGGGCTGGGTGGTTCAGGGGGCTCATGTCATGTTCCTGCACCACGCTGCTAACCCGCCAGTGATTCACCGCGACTTCAAGAGCAGCAACGTGCTGGTCGACCATGAGTGAGTGGCTGAACACACTTGTGCAGGACACAGTAGCCTGGGTGGTTCCTTCCCTCTACTCTGGGCTCTGGGCTCCATTTGGGTTGTCTCCATTTGGGTTGTCTCCATTTGGGTTGTCTCCATTTGGGTTGTCTCCATTTGGGTTGTCTCCATTTGGGTTGTCTCCATTTGGGTTGTCTCCATTTGGGTTGTCTCCATTTGGGTTGTCTCCATTCGGGTTGTCTCCATTTGGGTTGTCTCCATTTGGGTTGTCTCCATTCGGGTTGTCTCCATTCGGGTTGTCTCCATTCGGGTTGTCTCCATTCGGGTTGTCTCCATTTGGGTTGTCTCCATTTGGGTTGTCTCCATTCGGGTTGTCTCCATTCGGGTTGTCTCCATTTGGGTTGTCTCCATTTGGGTTGTCTCCATTTGGGTTGTCTCCATTTGGGTTTTCTCCATTCGGGTTGTCTCCATTCGGGTTGTCTCCATTTGGGTTGTCTCCAGACAGACAGGTCCAGTGAGCCTTTGAGGCGCCTCGAAAGACGGAATTTCTATAAGGCACCTCAAAAGACGACCACGAGTGAGTGTGCTGCTGCTGCTTACTGAGTGAGTGTGCTGCTGCTGCTTATTTTTCACTCCCCTTTTGCCTCCCTTCCAGTTTTTCCCCTCTCACAGCTTCCATGCGCGCATTGCTGATTTCGGGTTGGCTCGGGACGGCCCCAGTGGGGACTGGGCATTACTGAACCACTGACCCTTTCTCTCTCCCCTCTCCCACTGCCCCTTTCCCTCCCCTCCCTTCGCTTCAGTTTCCATGCACGCATTGCTGATTTCAGACTGGCTCGGGACGGCCCCAGTGGGCACTGAGCATTACTGAACCACTGACCCTTTCTCTCTCCCCTCTCCCACTGCCCCTTTCCCTCCCCTCCCTTCGCTTCAGTTTCCATGCACGCATTGCTGATTTCAGACTGGCTCGGGACGGCCCCAGTGGGCACTGAGCATTACTGAACCACTGACCCTTTCTCTCTCCCCTCTCCCACTGCCCCTTTCCCTCCCCTCCCTTCGCTTCAGTTTCCATGCACGCATTGCTGATTTCAGACTGGCTCGGGACGGCCCCAGTGGGGACTGGGCATTACTGAACCACTGACCCTTTCTCTCTCCCCTCTCCCACTGCCCCTTTCCCTCCCCTCCCTTCGCTTCAGTTTCCATGCACGCATTGCTGATTTCAGACTGGCTCGGGACGGCCCCAGTGGGCACTGAGCATTACTGAACCACTGACCCTTTCTCTCTCCCCTCTCCCACTGCCCTTTTCCCTCCCCTCCCTTCGCTTCAGTTTCCATGCACGCATTGCTGATTTCAGACTGGCTCGGGACGGCCCCAGTGGGGACTGGGCATTACTGAACCACTGACCCTTTCTCTCTCCCCTCTCCCACTGCCCCTTTCCCTCCCCTCCCTTCGCTTCAGTTTCCATGCACGCATTGCTGATTTCAGACTGGCTCGGGACGGCCCCAGTGGGCACTGAGCATTACTGAACCACTGACCCTTTCTCTCTCCCCTCTCCCACTGCCCCTTTCCCTCCCCTCCCTTCGCTTCAGTTTCCATGCACGCATTGCTGATTTCAGACTGGCTCGGGACGGCCCCAGTGGGCACTGAGCATTACTGAACCACTGACCCTTTCTCTCTCCCCTCTCCCACTGCCCCTTTCCCTCCCCTCCCTTCGCTTCAGTTTCCATGCACGCATTGCTGATTTCAGACTGGCTCGGGACGGGCCCAGTGGGCACTGAGCATTACTGCACCACTGACCCTTTCTCTCTCCCCTCTCCCACTGCCCCTTTCCCTTCCCTCGCCTTGCATCAGTTTCCATGCGCGCATTGCTGATTTCGGGTTGGCGCGGGACGGGCCCAGTGGGGAGAAGCGGTGGGTGTCGACGCGAGTTCTGGGCACCACAGGTTACCTGTCGCCAGAGTGAGTGATTAACGAGGGTGATTTACCCTGAGCACTTATCGAGGGTGAATTACCCTAAGGTGCGTGGGTTTCTCACCCCTGATGGCCCCAGTGGGGAGAAGCAGTGGGTGTCGACACGAGTTTTGGGCACCACAGGTTACCTGTCCCCGGAGTGAGTATTTACTGAGGGTGAGTCACCCTAAAGCACTTATCGAGGGTGAATTACCCTAATGTACGTTGGTTTCTTATCCCTGGTTGGCCCAGTGGGGAACGGTGGGTGTAAACAAGAGTGCTGGGCACCACAGGTTACCTGTCCCTGGAGTGAGTGATTACCGGGGGTATTTGTGAATTACCCTAAGGTGTGTTTGTGTGGTCACGTCTGGTAAACGGTGTTCATGAGAGCCTTTTTGCCCTGGAAAGATATTTGAAGGGCAAGTTACCCTACCTGCTGCACTTTATTTGCCCTCCCGTCCTGCCTTTTCTCTCTTCATTCTCGTTCCCTGATCCTCCCATCCCTCCTCCCCATCAGGTACGTGACAACCGGCAGGCTAACACCAAAGTCAGATGTGTATTCGTTCGGCATTGTGCTGCTGGAGCTGCTGACAGGGCTCGTGCTTCTGACCCCGCATGCTCCCTCCCTCCCATCCTCCCCTGCCTCTCCTCTCCCCTCCCCTCACCCTCAACAGATATGTTACCAGGCCGTTTAACACCATAGTCAGACGTGTATTCGTTCGGCATCGTGCTGCCAAGGCAGGGCTCTTCGCTCTGACCTCCTATGCTCCCTTCCCCCCTTCCTCTCACCCTCAACAGATATGTCACAACAGGGCGCCTCACCCCCAAGTCGGACGTGTACTCGTTCGGCATCGTGCTGCTGGAGCTGCTGACAGGGCTCGTGCCCATCCTGCCACTCCTCCCATGTACTTGTCCCCTCTCCTCCCCTCATTTCTTCTCCTCCCTCATCCTCTTCCCTCCTATTAGGTATGTCACCACGGGCAGACTCACCCCCAAGTCGGACGTCTACTCGTTCGGCATCGTGCTGCTGGAGCTGCTGACAGGGCTCTGGCCTCTGGCGCCCTCCCTCCCATCCTCCCATGTTCCCTTCCCCCGCCCTCCCCTCACCCTCAACAGATACGTCACAACCGGCAGACTAACACCAAAGTCGGACGTGTACTCGTTCGGCATCGTGCTGCTGGAGCTGCTGACAGGGCTTGTCCCCATCGACCACGACAGACCACCGAATAGGGTTTCCCTGACGTCATGGGTGAGTCACTGGGGTATGATAGGGGGGGGGGGGGGAGGAGGCACATGGTGCTGCTGGAGCTGCTGACAGGGCTCGAGCCCATCGACCATGACAGACCGCCTAATAGGGTGTCGCTGACGTCATGGGTGAGTGGGTGTAGTGCGGTGTAGGTAGGTGCAAGGTGGTTACCCTGCTGCTGCTGGAGCTGCTGACAGGGCTCGAGCCCATCGACCATGACAGACCGCCTAATAGGGTGTCACTCACGTCCTGGGTGAGTTTGTGTGATGAAAAAGGTAAGGTGAAGGGCGGTATGTGGGGGATAAGGGAGGGGGATGGGAGAGGGTGCATGTGCTGCTGGAGCTGCTGACAAGGCTCGTGCCCATCGACCATGACAGACCACCCAACAGGGTGTCGCTGACGTCCTGGGTGAGTGGGAGGGTGGGTGGGTGGGTGTAGTGCGTTTGTGCGTGGTGCAGGGAGGTTATCCGTGCTGTTGGTGCTGCTGGAGCTGCTGACAGGGCTCGTCCCAATTGACCACGACAGACCGCCAAATAGGGTGCGCTGACGTCATGGGCGAGTTGGTGTTATGTTTTAGGGGTAGGTGAGATGCGGGGGTACGTGGGGGATAAGGGGAGGTGCATTGTGCTGCTGGAGCTGCTGACAGGGCTTGTGTCATTTGACCATGACCGTCCATCAAATACGGTTTCCCTGACTTCCAGGGTGAGTCATTGTGATTCACTGGGGGGGTGGGGAGGTTTTGTGGGGGAGAAGGGGTGGAACGGGGGGTGGGCGGGATGTGGTATTGCTGGAGCTGCTGTCAGGGCCGATCGACCATAGGCCGCCGGATAGAGTGTTGCTGACGTCATGGTTGAGTAGAAGAGTGGGACTGCTGCGCTTTTTGGTTAGTAGCGAATAGAAAGAATAAAGAGCTCCTTTCTTGCTTCTATCCTTCCAATCCTTCTACTATTCCTCAATCCTTCCAATCCTTCTACCATCCTTCAATCCTTTCAATCCCCTCCCAAAAACCCCCAGGTCCTTCCCACAACAGCCCAATCTCCTGCCGCTACCCCTAATTCCCTTGCAATGCCCCTCTCCTTCACCCTCCCTTCTCCCCATCAGGCGCTGCCGCTGCTGACGCAACGAGACAGGCTGGGAGAGCTGCTGGACCCGGCCCTTGATGGCACTGTTCCTCTGCACGAGTTCATGCAGGTGCGGTTCAAAGGGGTTGGGTGCATAGCGGGTGGGTGCATAGTGGTGCCTGCTGCTGGGAGAGCTGCTGGATCCGGCCTTGGATGGCACGGTGCCTCTGCACGAGTTCATGCAGGTGCGGTTCAGAACGGTTGGGTGCATAGCGGTTGGGTGCATAGCGGGTGGGTGCATAGTGGTGCCTGCTGCTGTGAGAGGCTGGGAGAGCTGCTGGCTGGATCCGGCCCTGGACGGCACGGTGCCCCTGCACGAGTTCATGCAGGTATGGTTCAGAGCGGTTGGTGGTGGTGTGCACGTGTGAGTGTGGTGGTGGTGGTGTTGTGGTGTTGCCTGTTGCTAGGAGAGGCTGGGAGAGCTGCTGGATCTGGCCCTGGATGGCACAGTTCCTCTGCACGAGTTAATGCAGGTACGGTGGTGGTGGCATAGGAGCATAGAGGCATGCAAGGTACGGTGCTCATAGGAGCGGGGTGGACGGTGATGTTGCTGCTGCTGCTGTGAGAGGCTGGGAGAGCTGCTGGATCCGGCCCTTGATGGCACGGTGCCCCTGCACGGATTCTCCCTACCTCCCTCTCTCGCCTCTCCCTGTCCCCTCCCTGTATCCCTTCACCAGGATGCATCAGTAGCGGCAGTGTGCCTGTAAGCAGACCCTGACTACCAACCCCACATGGACGATGTTGTTCAGTCACTCGTGCCACTCTGCAATATCCCCTTATCCCCTTCCTCTCCCTGTATATTTCCCCAACACATCAGGCTGCCTCTGTAGCGGCAGTGTGCCTGCAGGCAGACCCAGACTACAGGCCTCACATGGACGATGTTGTTCAGTCGCTCATGCCGCTCTGCAAGGCCGCCATCTCTCCCTACGCCTCTCCCGCCCAATCAAACCACTCCTCCTTGAGATGACACCCCCACCTAAACCTCACTCCTCCCCCTATTATCATTAGCATGATTCACTGCTCTGCAAGGCTGCCATTTCACCCCACGCCCCCTGTCCATTCCAACCACTCCTCCCCGAGATGACTCCCCACTTCCTTCACTCTTGTACAAGTGTATTAACAAGTGTCATCATCGTATACTAATCGAGCAAGATAGGATTTTGACTGTATCAACAATAGCACTGTGGTGTAGATGGGTTGTAGGCATCTGAGCTTGCTAGCCAAGCGAGGTTTCATTAGCTAGTGTAAGCTTTGGAGTGCAACTAGGGGTATAAATGATGGTGGGAGCGTGTATTGTTAAAAGCACAGCTTGCCCTGGTCTGTTTACATGATTCTGGATGACAAGAACAATGCCAAAATATCAAGGTGTATACCCACAATAATGCATCAAGCACCATAAAGAAAGAACAAAACCTTGATTGAAATTGAGCCTTATGCAAATACCTTCATTCCCACATCATAGTCTTCACTGCTGTGTCGGATTGACAGGCACCAAGTCGTTTCCCTCCACACACTCGTGCTTGCTTCCCTCTTTCCCCTCAGCTTGTACCCCATACAACGAGACGATTCATAAGTCGACTTAAAATTCCCTTACAGCTGCTGGGTTGGATCGACAGGCACCAAGTCGTTCCCCTCCACACACTCGTGCTTGCGTCGCTCCTTCACCTTGCCTCCCTCCTTCACCTTGCTTCCCTCCAGTTCCTAGATGGCTCTTTGGTTTACTAAAGAATAATCTCCTTACAGCTGTGTCGGGTCGACAGGCACCAAGTCGTTCCCCTCCACACATTCATGCTTGCTTCCCTCCTTCAGCTCGTACCCTATATCGCAGCGACACTCAAACTGTATAGAGCTCGCGACACTGTTCGCTGGCACACAGGTTCCGTGACCAGAGCAGGGTGGGCTACTGCTGCTCGCTCCACAAAACTTTTTGCAAGCTGCCCGGCTCCGCTGCTGTTTTTCCGGGCAGCTAGCTGTTTTAGACAGGCAGTTCTGCACAGCTCTCAGAGTTTCGTCGTCCCCAAGCCCCTGACTCAGGCCAGACTCTACCGGGCAGAGTTTCTGCCCGGAAATAGTGAGCATGGGGTTACCCCAGAAGTAGTTAGACTGGAAATCAAACACCATATCCCCGACACCCCTCCCCACCTGGGGCAGCTTCCCAGAAAAGAAATTTCCAGAGACGTTGAAATCGGTCAGGTGAAAGTTGCGTAGCGCAGCAGCAGGAATTGAACCCACGAGCTTGTTGCTGCTAATATCCAATTGCCTTAGTGCCCCCCCAACTCCCGCTTTTAATGCTCTCCAGGGAAATTCTCCGGTCAGCTGGTTGTTCTCGAGAGAAAGAACGTTCAGGGGTGGTTTGTACGCGAAAAACTTCCATGAAATGGAGCCGTTTAGCCTATTTCCCGCGAGAGAAAGCCAGTAGAGATTTATAATCCTGCCCAGGACGTGTGGCAGATTGCCCGAAATCTTGTTCGAGCTTAGATTGATGAAATAAAGGTTTTGATGACGCCATAGCTGAGCGAGCGACTTAGTCGTGTCTGTAATCCCCGCTTGCTGCATATTCAGCCATTCAAGCCGCGACAACCTGTTGATTAGCGTGTAAGGGAAGACACCACCGATGGGATTATATGAGAGGTCAAGGTTCTTGAGAGATGGGGCGAGAGCGGCTAAGACTCCTGGTAGCGGGCCTATTAATCGGTTTTCCTGCAGTCTTAACTCCTCTAGGCGACTCAATCCCGACAGCTGGCGCGGCACGGCTCCTGTTAAGCGGTTATGTGAGAGGAGGAGCGACTTTAAGTTCGACAGGGTGCCCAACGCGGGGGGAATCGGGCCGGAGAGCTGGTTTAAGTTAAGCGAGAGGTAAGTAAGACGCTTAAGACGGCTAAGCGCGGGTGGGATGCCTCCGGAGAAACTATGGCCGAGAAGATTGAGGGACACGAGATTGGTGAGGGAAGAGAGGGAGCGTGTGATGCGGCCGCTGCAGCCGCCCGTGCTGCTTCTGATGCTGACGGTGGTGAGGGTCCGAAGCGCGCCGAGCGGTACCGGCAGTGAGCCTGTGAATTCGTCCCCGAGATTTCTAGGTGTTGGAGGGAGTTGAGAGCGGTGATGGTGGACGGAATCGGGCCCGTTTCCCAGAAGTTCAGCTCGATTTTTACGACCCCGCCTTGGGAGTTACACGTGACGCCTTCCCATTGGCTGCAGTCGTTTCCCGTGCGCCACGTGTCCTTGTAATAGTAGCTGTCAAGATAAGGCATCAAGGAAAGTAGAAAGTTCGCCTGAGCGGGGTTGATTCTTGCGGCGCGGCTTGGGGTGCACAAGAGGAGGATAGCCAGAAAAATGAATGGTATTATCGGGGATGTGAGCGGGGTTGATCCCCTCGGAGGTTTGCTGGGAGTGGACGCCATGGATTCTTCTGGAAGTAGAGTATGGCTATTTTCTAGCTAATTCAAAGCTCGTAATCAGTCCGTCACGAAGCAGGGGTGGAAGTGTGCTGCTGAATTCTTTCCGTATTTGCTGATAATGATGTTCCGGTGGAGGGAAGTGATCCATTCTTATAGCAAGCACACGAGGCGGGTGCTAACTGGACAATCGCGACCCGGACGCGGCAGTTCTCGACAATCGAGGAGTCCTTCCTTGCTGCCACCATTGGCTGTCCTTGGCGGCGTTTCCCTTTCCTAACAGAACGCGTCTCCTAAGCGGCGGGAGTCGCGCGAGCGAGTCGCGCCAGCAAGCCATGGATGAGGTGTTGTGATGCTCTGGGCTCAAAAGAAACATCACAGCAGCAAGAAAGCTCAGTTCAGCAGCATTGCACTTTAAACTTCAAGCAAGAACTCAGGTCGTGTCCGTAGGGATGACATGTCGAAGTGAGCAGTGTCAATTTGGCATTTTGACACTCAGCCAACATTGTTGGCAGGGTGTCAAGAAATTGCAGGTTGCCATCCAATACAAATCGTCGGACACTTTCTAAATTGGCACAGTCAAACCTACAAACGAGAGAAGATGGTCGCAGGTGCCTATCTCACGACCAGATGCTGCCCAATCAGCACACAATCTGTCTTTTGAATTGTTCGCTACCTGGCAGATCCACCCATGACAAATTCTCAAACCAATGAAATTCCGTCGCTGATGTTCGTACATGCGCTTCGACTTGACACTTCGGCTACAGTGTTTGACACTCTAATTTGAATGCGCTTCGGGTTGACACGCTCTCACTTAACATGTCAACCCTACGGACACGAACTCATGAGTTGTCTCTGGCATAGAAGTGACAAACGTCAACCAGAAATCAATTCTAGAGACCGTTCGACTATCACCACCCCTCGTCCCTCGCGAGGGGGGTTCAATTGAAACATGGTTTCATAGGGTATGTACATTGCCAGGTTGGCAAAATAAACCGAGAAATGATTTGTTCTCTTTCAGCGACTTCGTATTTTGCATAGTGAACCTGTCCAATGTAGCCCTCGGGCAGCCTGAAAGACCCCCGAACCACACCTGAGCGGGTTCGATCGAGCAGCAGAGTGCGGTTCGATTTCCCTGCGCTGGTGAAACGCGGCTTGACTGTTGCATTGCACGACATTGAGCTTCGTCGAATCGCACAGCAACACAATCTGCGCTTTGTGGAGAGCAAAAGAGCACATTCGCAGCTTCAGATGACTGCGGCGACAGTTGCAAAGTTGTCAATTGGACGGTGGCGGTAACAGTTTATTCTGATGTGTTCGCACGAAGCCTTGATTGGCCGACACATGTCGTAAATCAACCACATCTCGCACCTAGAGCGCACCCCCCTCCTGACAATTGACTGATTTTGACTTGAAATTCCCGTTTCCGTGAGTCTCCAATTTTTTCACTTCAGAATATCTGCATTTCGCATTCATTCAAACACAAGAACGAAAAAGGAATTTAAATAAGCCATGAGAAACTCTCTATACTATGTGGACAGTTGAACTACTGATTGAAATACGCAATGCCCACGGGCATAAAACAACCGACTCGCATCAAGCACACACAACCTGCTTCTCTCCACCTTCCCAAATTCTCATTGGGGGTTTTTACCAATACCAAGTATGACTATATCCCATTGACGCTTCAGCCCCTGAAAGCTCATAGCAGCTTCAGTCCCTGAAGGCCCCCCTTGGCTTGTTCGGCTAACCTTGAGAATTGTTTTGGATGTTACTCCTGCCACTGTTTATCAGGAAGGTTCAAAGGAAAGAGGACTACTGGGAGGTCCAGGGAGAGGGAGAGCTTCAAGATACATTCTATATCAGCCGTCCCTCTCGCACTCATGCTTGCTTCCTGCCTTCGGCTTGTACCCCTTGTAGCAAAGACACTCAAACTGTATAGAGCCGCTGGCACTGTTGGCTGGCACACAGGTTCCATAACCTGAGCAGGGCGGGCTGCTGCTGCTTGCTCCACAGAAGTTCTCACAAGCTGCCCTGCTCCGCTGCCGTTTTTGCGGGCAGCCTGCTGTGGTAGACAAGCAATTCTGCACAACTCTGAGAGTTTCGTCTCCCCCACTCCCCTGACCGCCAGACTCATCCGGGCAGAGTTTCTGCCCGGAAATAGTAAGCGTAGGGTTACCCCAGAAATAGTTGTACCGGAGATCAAACAACTTGTCCCCAACACCCCCCCCAAGCTGGGGCAGCTTCCCTGAAAAGAAATTCGCAGAGACACTGAAGTCGGTAAAGCTGAATTCGCGAAGCGCAGCAGCAGGAATCAAACCCACGAACGAGTTGCTGCCAATGTCCAATTGCTCCAGTGTCCCCGCAACTCCCGCTTTTAGGGCAGCCCACGGGAACTCGCCGGTCATTTGGTTGTTTTCGAGCGAAAGAACGGTCAGGGGCGGTTTGAACGCGAAAAACTTCCACGAAACGGAGCCGTTGAGCCGATTCCCCCCGAGGTAAAGCCTGTTGAGGTTTTTCATCCTGCCCAAGACATTGGGTAGGCTGCCCGCAATCTTGTTCGGGCGCAGGT